CCACAACAATCAGACAAGATCTATCTATGTAAACACTAGAAAACATTCATCCAGCAAACAATCAGATAGCTTCAATCTAACCATCACAAAACATTCATCCAGCAAACAATCAGATAGCTTCAATCTAACCATCACAAAACATTCATCCAGCAAACAGTCAGATAGCTTCTATCTAACCATCAGAAAACATTTATTCAGCAAACAATTAGATAGCTTGAATCTAAACATCAGAAAACATTCATCCAGCAAACAATCAGATAAGATCTATCTATGTAACCACCAGAAAACATTCATCCAGCAAACAATCAGACAAGATCTATCTATGTAACTACCAGAAAACATTCATCCAACAAACAATCAGACAAGATCTATCTATGTAACCACCAGAAAACATTCACCCAGTAAACAATCAGACAAGATCTATCTATGTAACCACCAGAAAACATTCATCCAGCAAACAATCAGATAAGATCTATCTATGTAACCACCAGAAATCATTTTCCAGCAAACAAATATTATGTAGCTATGTAACCACAAAAACCCATTCAACCAGAAAAGATTCATTCTGTGCACATCCATCCTGAATTCGATGTCAAGGGGTTTTTTCGTTACTTAGTTTTCTTCGAGTAAGCCGTGGTTAAAATAAAAGATTAAATTATGTTTGACAGTATGTGCTATGTGGTATGTGCTATTGAGATCGGGTTCAATATGTATACTCTATTCCATCCATCATCATTATTAAAGTTAGTTACATTACTATCATATACAATGATATGATCTAGGTGATATTCCCTACTTCACCAACCGATCAACCACCACAAAAAAATCGATAAAAGTCGAGTTTTTGATTTAATTTACGGCGATCTGTCCGCCATTTCTATAGTCAATATTTATTCAATGGGAAATAAGGAAAGCCATGTGTCAGCTTTAATCATATCCTACCGAATATAGGCAGCATTAGTGGAAATATAACAGTGTCTAGAGTTATGTAGCCCACAGGAAATACGTCCATTGACAAGTCTGGCTTATAACAGGAGCTGAGTTGGAGTTGAGAAAGAGGTCGATAGAAGACGAATTTGTTGAAGATTATCTTACAATATAATTATCTTATTTTATGAGAAAAATTAAGAAAATAACAAAACTTTTCTTGTCTTAAAGTCGTCTAGCTTAATTAGAGGCATAATGCCATTTATCTATTCCAATCATGACCAAAAATTAAAATTAGTGCAAGAAGTCATTTCCGTCTTCGTTTTTCTCCTCGGTTCCTGTCTGCTCCATGTTTTTCCATGGTCGTTTTGAAATCGTTTCATATCAGCTATTCAATGATTGTTACGTTGTACTTGCGGTTTAATAGTATGATAAAAAAATATCGACTCTGTCGCAGAACGACCTGAGTGGGCAGAAACAAAGACGTATACAATGTGGGCGTATAATATAAATTGTTGATACAATTAAGTTGGTATCCTGTCGTGTGGTGATGTCATGGCTCATTCATAAAACTAGTCAAATGGTAATCAGGGCGCTTGATCAGATGTTACGTTCAATAAATTCTGTGGAGCTTAAATCATGAATTTTGATGAAGCGGGTCGTTGGCAATTCTCCACTGAGTTAGATGTAATGAAATGTTAATTTACAACGCCCACTCTAATGATTAAGGAGTTGTTTCTTGTAATTAAGTTGTTTTAATTTGATCTTAGTAACAACATTATCAATTATAATAGAAACATTTCGTTGAAGACTCATGGCACTTCAAGATATTTTTTTTTTTAAGTATACTTCATTAGAAGGAAACGAGAGTCATTTAAAACAAAATAACTTAATTTAACTAACATAGACGATGAAGGAAAAGAAAAGGTATGCCAAGCTAAATTCATCAGTGACATGCTGCTTTAGCTTATCTGTCGTATCAATATAGTCTTAGGTCTTGGCATCTAGAGCTGATTTCTGTTATTGTTGATAATCCAAATATACTTCGTTATGATTTCACTTATTTTTGTTTTATTGACTTATTTGATAACCACCACCAACATCATCGTAATAAAACCGCAACTCCCTACCGACGAGGTTTGGGATTGTTTTACAAAGGACAAGAAAATGAGATCCAGGGGTAAATTTGTGATTAAGGGGACGTAACTACTTTTACGTCTTCAGACTACAATTACACATTCACAACAGAAATCTTGGTTCAACTGAAATAAGGACGAGAGGGTGTGTGTTAGAAAACATGTCTCCAAGAAGACCAGTGTCAAGTATGCAGGCCTCCACGACTTGTTAGCAGTATTGAATGTTAACAACTTTTTCATCATCCTGTGTATGGAATCACACCACCTTTCAGTTTTACAGACTATGTAAAGTTGGATCACTATTAGCAACTGTTTTATAGATGAGATCTAGTGCTACTAAAGATGACGACACTCCAAGCCTTGGGTGATTTATTTGGATAAATAATAAGTTTCAAATTAATAGAAAAATATTTATTATATACTAAAAAAAATAATCCTTGTATAGTAATACAATAAATTGACAAATAACCAACAATAGGACGGCCATTTTATTCTGAATGTATCTGAATGTCATCTGAGATGATTTTAAGGTGGTTTTCTTTCTACAGCATTGAACAAAAAATCATTTACAAGCATAAGAGATAAAGATTGGCCATGTGACCAGTTATCTCTGATTATCAGTGACTAGTTTCGTTCGTGTTTGAACTCTTCAGACTGATTAGACTCACCTTGTAGGGTTCTATTCATACTGTTCAGGGACACCTGTTCAAGATACTAGGATGTGAGTTTTACTGGGGTTGCCGGGGTTAGAATGTATCAGGGTTACCAGGGTTGATCTGGGTTAAGAGAAACTCTGAGAAATATGAGTAGGCCTAATGGTAACTTTGACGTTGGATACCCGATTGTGACATAAAGGTGTATATGAAGTTATGGCTAATTTCGTGACCCCTGCAGGCAGATATGATTCCCTTTTAAAACTCAGGATCTATAACCATCCACCGGCTAAAAGTCAAAGAGTCTAATTTCCCACCAACTAGTCTGCCAAAGCTAATGCTAAAAAGGTGAACCTATCTATCTTACAAGAGATACACCAGTCGCCTCTCACTTCCATTTACCAGCCCACTTTATGTATATTTGAAGGTTTGCTCTGACAAGAAACTTAGTAGTGGTAAAAAAAGCATTAAGGAAATACATACTAAAAAATATTGTGCATAGAAACGTGCATAGAGTAAGTAAGCCAAGTTAGTTGTTTTTCTAAATGTCTATAGTTAGTTCCCAGCTAATATCTTCTGAACATAATTTCTAACATTAATATGTAAAGTATCCTGTGTTTCATTAAATATTGTAGTAGCTAGATTCTGAGCTGTTTCGCTACCTTTCACCAAAGCTTTATAAATTGGTAATGTATATTTCTGTTTACCTGTAATATATACATAATCTTTATATATTAAACAAATTACTGCTTTCCTTAAACGATGTAGTCAACTTATATTTGATGTACCTGCTGACGGCTCAATATCAGCCATTTCAAAATAGCACCTTCACTTATATTATTAACATGCACCGGTCTGGTAAGATCTAGCAGCACTTTTCAAATTTGCAATACATCTTTGCAAATTTTATTGCATCACAAGGAACACATTCATGTGCTTTTCATTGTTTCATCAGAAAAAATGGTCATGATATCTACATGAAGATCTCTTTATAGCTACATAAATGAATTAATATAAATATTAAAACATAAGCTAAAAAAGAATTTAGCAGTGAAAATATTTTACTATTGTAAATGATATAATAAATATATAAATACCTTGACTGTTTAAAAAGTTTCTAACTGTTGGGAAAGCAGGTTGAAAATCATTTTTAATAACTATTTGACCCCAACGTAATAATATCTTTAACAAAAAATAAACAATATTATTAATCCCATAGCTAAACAACATAGTAACTTAAAGTATAGGTCCTTCTTATTAGATGTTGTGATAATGTAAATTATTGAAGCAATGTATATAATATTCAGTTTTTATCTAATATTGACCTTACCTCAGAATTTTGTGACTGTGATATGTTTGGGTAAGTTTTACTAATAAATTGTAAGCGATCATGAGATATATGTGATCGTTCTAATAATTTATCTAATAGATGAAATATCTGGTAGGTTTTCCACGCTTCAATATTTCTATCTACTGTCTGGAAAAGAATAACAAGAAAATTATTCGTTAAATATCATTTAGAAAATGATTTTTAACCCTTTCGAAACCATATGTGACCCTGGCTAACATTCTGAGACTGAAATTTTGCGGAAAAAATGTCTTATTGATTGAATTGCGTCTGTTATACCATCGGCCCATACACAAGCTATTCTGATGTTTCAGTATTTAGGGCATCTTCACAATGTCAAGCCATCAAAGTATTACAAACTCTAATACCTTATATCATTAGGCACTTCTTTTATCATGAATTTTGTGATGCAGTGATTTTCATTGAAATCAAATTTGCTAGCAAATACAGCCAATCAGAGCATGTCTTTATTAGTTCTTGCCTTCCAGCATGACTTTGTGATGATGACCCTTATCAATATAATGATTTACTTCTCTGAGTATGTTAAAACCCTTGACAACAAAGGATATGTTAAAAGTTGAAGACGGAATGCATAATAACAACTTACTTCATTACTTTCACCAGCTAAAACAGCAGCTAACTTTTCAGCAGGTTCAGTTAGTTCTTGACCAGCTGATAAATCTGGAACATAGGTAGGCCATCCTGGTACATTCAACCAGGCATCAAAATCAATCTTTCCTTTTAATTCAGGAAAATATTCAACATAATAATCAAACATGTCTTCTGCTACAACACTCTAAAATACATGAAATGAAATGTGAGTTTTACACCTTAACTTTGCTGCACCTGATAGGGATTATGAAAACAGGCAACATCATGCAGTGTGCAATGAGCAAAATATTACTATGACAGCCATTATTTTTCCATTTTCAACTTTCAAGGGATCTCATCCTGTAGTGCATTTGGCCTTAAGTCATTATCCTTTCTGATTGATGCTTTTTATATGTCAGCCTCAAACAAGTGAAAATGTGTGGATTTTTTTTCAATTTGTAAAATATGTAAATGAAGAACATTAATAAATGAAAGCATCAAATCCTGCAATGTTTTGTCTTATATTCATATTGTCCATAATCAACATAAATCATAGATATATATAATTACCTTGAATTTATACTTGTCAACATAACTTTTCAGAAAATCATCAAATTTATGGACATCACCAACCATATGTTGTAAATAACAAACAAAACTATAACCTTTTTCATATGGTGTTTCATTATAGGTATCATCAGGATCTACTCCAGGTTCAATAACAACTCTTAAACGATTTAGAGGGTGATCCTGTAGAATACATGATTCATAAGAGGATTGGAAAGGTAGGTTTTTCCCTCCTTCATACAACTCCATAAATTAAGCCTAACCCTAGACTGTATTATTGTACCGGGTGAAGCACAGGGAAATTACAGAATATTCCATAATGTCTTGATGGATTAATTGATACTTAAGATTTTTATTAATACCAAAAGTTTAGCCAAATTTGGCTCTTGTCATGGTGTCATGTCAATATCATAACATATGACATCGACATAAACATAGGGTCCATGATAAAAAAATTAACAAGTTTCATTATACATACCTGTCCACTGTCATCTATATGTTGTTTTAATAAAGCTAGACCACATTGAGCTTCTAAACATGTATAAGCTTTACCAAATATCTCTTCCATAATTCTTCTTTGACCAAACATAGTAAAACCCTTAAAGTAATAAGTGTATTTCAACAATGTAACTAATTCTTATTTTACTAACTCAAAAAAGGTATTGAGCATTCAAAAATTAAAAGGATTGAGTTTTTAGCATAATCAATCAGGTATGAGTTACAGCTTTATTCTGAAAAATCTACTGCAAGTTTAACATACATATTATTAAAACCATAAGTGAATAGAATTTAGATGTGAATAGAATTTTAAGCTAACAAAATACTATCTACCTCATTTAACCAGAATTCACTCCAAGTAGCATTAGTTACCAAATTACCAAACCAACTATGAGTCTGAAAAAAAAAATATTTACTCTGTGTAAAAATGACATGTTTAAAGAGATTCTTAAAGCCTTTTATCTGGTACCATTTTTTAGTCAGACGCCTGTGATTCCACCAAAACTTAACATTTTACGAAGTAACCATTACAAAGGGCAATGCATATACATTCATATTCATTGAACAAACTAAATGAAAGCTTACTATTTCATGTATAACAACATCAGTTAATGATTTATCTCCCACTAGTAAACAAGGTGTAACAAAGGTCAAACATGGGTTCTCCATTCCACCAAATGGAAAACTAGGAGGCATGATCAAAATATCATATTTATCCCAAACATAGGGTCCAAATAACCTTTCTCCAGTGTTAATAAACTCTTCTACTACTCCATTAAATTCATTCTTAGCCTTTTCCTGAAAGAATTTCAGTCAAATTAAGTCATATATAGAACTGAATTCAGATAAGATCAAAAACTCAAAATCTGCCATATTTCCTTACCAGGTATTCCCATGTTAACTGATAATAAGTGCTCTTAAAAAAACGAAGGTTTCTGCCTAGTCGACACAGCTTTAAGTGGTACAGATAATCCAGGATAGATCAATACCAAGAGGTTTGGCCTAGGAACAGCTAGAAAAGACACTCATGAACCTAACTTGTTCATATAAATGAAAATGTTACTGGATATCTAAAAAATGCAGGATTTCCTTTCACAACTGATAAATAACCTTAAAATCACTCATCATTAAACCTACCAAAACACTTGGTTCTGCCCAAACTTTACTTCGAGGACCAATATTAGCAGACTGGATATCACCTACTGCTAAAGCTATTAAATAACATTGAACTGGTTGTTTGAGACTAAAGTAATATGTATTTTTATTGCCTGTTAGGTTAGGAACATTTCCATAACTACTTTCACTAGCACTCATTACTGCTGTAAATCCTTCAGGAATCTAAATAAAAGGACAATTCTAATGTATAACTAGAAATGAAGGTAGCCAACAGACACCTAATTTACCAAAAAAAAAAAAAAAAAATACTATGGTGAATGATAATTGGACATATACAAATTTCATTATCTGACTACATATTATTTCACCATCAATATATGTATGTTTCTAAAAGAGTTCAAATATCAACATAAAACTCATAACAAGTCAACAAAACCACCAAATAATCAAGAGATTTTACCTTAACATTAGCAGTATATGGAGTTTTAACAGCAGGAGTATCTTGACAGGGAAAGAAAGATCTGTTACATGCTGCTTGTCCTTGAGTATACAAATATGGCTTCACTTTCCCTAAAAAATACATTCATATTGATATAAAAAAAGCACCTTAAAAAAACATAATGGCTTTATAGAACAATTATGGTTCTCCAAATTCCAGTCATGGCACAAGCCAGGTATTTAATCGAGCATTTAACAAATATGCAAAAAAAAGGGATAAATACATGGTAATGTCTAACAAATCTACTACAAATTTGTGCTTTTAAACATTTCTAGAAAAATCAATTTGTATAAAAAAGAGATCTGTACCCCTTTTCAGAATTAAAATCTAACATCTAGTTCTCCTTCAATCATTCAAAAGCTTAAAATAGGTTTATTACAGTGTCATAGAAACTGGATGTCAGATTTTAATTCTGAAAAGATAGCTCAAACTCACTCTATCAACTGATTAATAAATATATAATGCTTTATAAATTATTCATACACGTTTTATCTTTTTCTGATTTTAGAAAAGTATATCTCTGGAAATATTCTCTGTGTTTCTTGAAATAAAATCGTACCTGCTGTTTGAAGAGGATCTAACCAACAAACACCTGTACCACCAGTTGCTATAAAACTTATCCATAGTTTAAACTCACTTCCATCTAACTTACTTTCAGGAATCTACAGTTCATTTAAAAATAAATATTAGCTTATTTTCAATCTTCATGAACAAATAGTAGGCTATATGGGATGTCCAAATAGGGAAAGTTTATCTTTATCAATATTGTTTGAAGGAACAACAGAAGTAACTTGGATGATTTTGAGAAAGACATGTCATACATCTTGTGTTTGAACAGCAAACTCAGCAAACTGTTCTTTGGATGTGAGTACAGATTTTGTTGATGCAGTGAAAGAGGCTGAAAGTGTTTAGATAAAATAAATCTGAATGAGAATCAGAATGTTTTGTACTAGAGTGTATTTATACTACCTGTATATGTAGTGCAGTTCCATAGTCTGTAAATGGTTTGATCTCAAATTTCAAGTCTGTATCATTTTGTTGCAGACCAACTCTAATGACTTGTAAAGTTTGGTGAACATCAAGAATGACTGAAAATTAAATAAAATAATCATTGGATTGATTACATTGCCTATTGGTACTCAGTGTGTTCACAAACCAATAAACGGCATCAGGCTTATCATAGATTTTATGAATAATTGCTGCATCAATGCTTTATCATATGTGAACACTTTTTTAATAACAAGACTAAGACACTACATTAATTCTAAAAGAAAAACTTTTCAAATATATTATAGCCTACAGATAGGCCTAGTGCATTTCTAATTTTCTGAAATCGTGAAGCCATTTTTCAACCAACCTTCTTTTGTCTTCTTCTCAGCTGAGGAAACCAAGGAACAACTTAAAACTTCTTGACCTTTTATTTCTCTCCTATCAAAATCGACATCAAAATCAAAATGGTAACCAGATACTTTAATTTCTCTAAAGTTAGATGCAGTTGCAACATCTGTTGCAGAATCAGAGTGGAGACGCATATCAGTTTTATTTCCTGCGATGTTGTGTTGTGACAAAGAATTAATGATATTGATAGGCGCGGAATGAAAACCGAAAGTAGATTAATTAGTGGGCGTTCCCTTTATCAATCATTCGGCTCCTCGAGATGAATTTGCGTTTTCACGTTATCCGTTATAACTACAACTTTATGATCTTATTTTTATTTGAGATTTTGTTATTGTAATCTAATAAGAGTAAAGTAAAACAACAACTCGCTTTAAAAGTTCATATTTATAGAAAAAAAAAATTGATTACGTTTCGCAATCGTCGAAAATATTACCGGTTACGTTGTATTCTATCCGGAAGTACACGTGTACATTGTAAACATGGCTTTTAAAATGATGTCTCGAAATTGGATATTTTTGTCCAGCTTTTTACTTGGGCTTGTTGTTTGGAATTTTTTGGCAGCACATGGACACGGGCATGCTCACGACCATGGGCATGCACATGACCATGGTCATTCACACGATGAGGCTCCGTCATTCAAATATAGTCAACAAGCAAACGATCCACCTCCAAAAAAACAGGCATCAGACAGCAACGGACATGGTCATGCTCATGGAAGTCATGGACATGCACACTCACACGAAGGACATGGACATGCACATTCAAATGAAGGACATGGTCATGCACATTCGCATGAAGGACATGGTCATGCACATCATGGAGGGCATGGTCATGCTCACTCTAAGCCAGACCATGGTGATCCTTCAGATTTTGCTGAGAGATATTTGGGAGCAAATCAGAAATCATCAGATCAGGGGTCAATGATGCTCTGGTTGCAAGCATTGGGTGCTACTGCTTTTATAAGTATTTCACCTGTATTTATTCTATTAGTCATTCCATTAGATAAATCAGAAGAGCATCAACCATTATTGAAAGTGTTACTCAGCTTTGCTTCTGGAGGATTACTTGGTGATGCCTTTCTTCATTTGATTCCTCATGCAGTGAATCCCCATTCTCATGGAGAAGATGGTCATGGTCATGGACACTCACATGGACACAGCCATGGTGAAGGGGGTCATGGACATGATATGAGTGTAGGATTATGGGTACTTGGAGGAATTATTGCTTTTTTAATTGTTGAGAAGTTTGTAAGATGGGTAAAGGGTGGTCATGCTCATTCCCACTCACACAGTGCTCCTAAACCAAAGGTGGATGAAAAAAAAAAGAAGGAAAAGAAAGCCAAACAAAGTGATGATGAAGCAGAAGATGAAAGTAAAGATGAGAAGTCTGAAAAAGAAGATAATTCAGATAAAGACAAGAAAGAAGTCAAACAGTCTAGTGGTGACGATAAAGAAGATAAGAAAGATGCAAAGGAAAAAGGTAGGTCTACATAAATAAACCAAGTACTGAAATCCAAAACAACAAATTGGCAAAACATTGGTGACAGCTATTGTCCTCATTTTAATCTGTTTCATTTTGGAAATATAAGACTTTACTTAAAGGTAAAAGAATAACTAAAACTAAAGAAAACATTTATATGTCTATTGTCTATGACATTGTTTAATATCAAGATCATTAACAATTAAAATCTAAATTTAGCTTGTAAATCGGTGCACTATATTGCATTTTTTTTCTTGAAATATGCACTATATTGTAAAACATTAACTAACCATTGTATCATTGATTATTTCAGAGGAACCAGTAGTAGTAGATCCATTGAAAGATATAATTGAAGATATAAAAGTGGCTGGTTATTTAAATCTTGCAGCTGATTTTGCCCACAATTTTACTGACGGCTTGGCCATTGGTGCATCATTTATTGCTGGTCGTAATGTTGGTATCATTACTACAGTGACTATATTTTTACATGAAATACCTCATGAAATTGGTGATTTTGCTATTCTAGTCCAATCTGGCTGCTCTAAAAGAAAGGTATGTATAACTATTTTATTATGGTGAGAGTACAAATAGAAATACCAAAGAAATATTCATGTATTATTATTAATTATTTATTTATCTTAATAAAAGGAAATATTTCTATATTAGTTTGCTGATTAATTTATTTTCCTGTTCCTTCATATAAAGTTTTTAAATATTATCTGTTTCTTTCTTAGTCATTATTATACTATTATTTCAGGCTATGCTGTTACAGTTCTCTACAGCTATTGGTGCAATGTTAGGTACAGTGTGTAGTTTATTAGCTGAAGGTGCTGGGGATGCTGCTATTGCTTGGATACTTCCATTTACTGCTGGCGGTTTTATTTACATTGCTACAGTATCAGTAATACCTGAATTATTAGAAGATAGTAAATTTGGACAGTCATGTAAAGAAATATTAGCTTTATTATTAGGAGTTTATATGATGGTACTTATTGCTCAATATGAATAAAGAAATAGTTATTATGGGTGGTGGATTTATGTACACTGGTAGAACCAGTCAAATTTATGTTACACTGAATGTTGGTTTACAGATTTATAAATGCTAATAAGATGACAATGGACACTGCTTTAGCCTCAAAGAATATCAATTATAAAGACATCTACTAATCAGATTTAGGGGTTGCTGACAGTGTTTGTAATTCTTTCATTTTTGTCATCATTATCTCTTTAAGATAAAATATTGACAATTAAGGTCAAAATACAAGTGCCCCTCCTGTCATCTTACCAATTCAAGATATTTATTTCAAAGCCTTAAATATATTTTTGAATGCTCAAGATTTATGAAATGAAGGTTGTTAGTAGTGAAAGTAAAGAAATTAAGATGTATTTTGTAAAGATGTATGAATGAAAAGTTTGTGTTTGTGACAGGTGTTTAACAGTAATTTTCAGTTTCCAAGAAGCAAGTTTTTTCTGTGTATCGATTTCTTTTCCTTATCATTAATGCATGTTTATCCTTCATATATAAACATTGTTAGTTTAAGCAGTCATAGAATTATACTTATTAAATCGTCTAGTCATGCTTTAACTCAGACTCAGATATACACAAAAATCTTATGCTTGTCTATTAACAGAGATAAAAATTTGTATATTTATGTCAAGTTTCCCTGAAAGTGTTTTGTTTTCTGAACTGAAAAATAAATCAGAGAAGAAAGAGCTCATTTATTATATGAAATTTCAACTTTAAAGTTTATAGGAATTTTTTGTTGGCTGCATATTTTATTTTCACATTGATACATTGATGGCCTCCAGAGATTTATGGTTTAATGCCTGTACTTTGTTAAGCATCACTCTAATTACCATGTTATTGTGACTGTTTTTCACGTCTAAATCTCAATATCATTCTCCACAGCTGTATTGTATTGTTAAATCATTGCCAGTAGATCATGTATTTTTCATTGCATTAAAACAAATGTTGTTAACTAATGATCGAAAGTTTGTTCTGAAAGAAAGTGTAAAAAAGAAAAACAAATAAAATTTTGTGTTAATGTTTTTGACTTTATAAAATACGAAAACAAATTGTATTTATTACATTATGAAGGATGGTGAATAATGAGATATTGGGCGTTACGTTGCATATTCCACGATTTTGCAATCTATATTCTATTACGTCGTTAAACTACATATGACCTGTACATTTAAGTATAACCTACCTGTATGGTCTCTCAACATAAAATTTCAAGGCAGATTTTAATCTAAAAAATATTTATTTTGAAGCGCACTAAAATCTAAAAAAAAAAAAACAGACTGCAAGTCTTAAATGGATTGACAGCAGATTTTAGTTGCACCAAATCAGCAAGCCCTTGATGGAAAATGACACCATTTTTCAAGTTAGTAAAAAACAATTTATTTGTCATACAACACACTTATCGCCTTTGTGATCCACACATAATTTACTACAATAATAATAAAGTTTCTATTGACTAGCACATTATCATTTTGAACTCTTACGAAGTTCTTTAACTTTTTTCAAACAATCATTTGCTTGTTGCATTGCATATTGATCAGAATTTCTAGTTGCCAGAAGTAAACTTTTTTTACAGGCTGATTCAGTCTCTGATATTTCTGCTCTTCCGAGATGAACAGCTCCCAGGTTAGAATATAACGTAGCACTGATATGGTAATCTGATTTCTCTGCAATCCGAAGGGCTGTTTTCAATATTTCCTCAGCTTTCTGAAGGTCCTGATTTAACAAATGAGCTGTTGCCAGATCATTCATTATAACTAATGTTTGCTCAGCAGAATCTCCTAACAATGACTTGGCTACTTCAAGAGACTCTGTTAACATAGTCAATGATAAACTCATCTGTTTCTTATATAACAAATATCGTCCATATCCTTCTAAAGCCATCCCTAAAAACCCTTTTGTGTCCTCATCAACATTTGATTCCTTTGTTAATTTCTCCTTTTGAGTGTTTATACAAAATTCATATCCTTGCACAGCCTCACGATCACGTTGCTGCATTGCATAGATTGTTGCTAATTTTAACGAAATTTCAACCATTGCATTATCAGTTTTACCCTTTCCGCTTTCTAAATACCCCTTCATTGTTTCTTTAAACAGAACCTCTGCCTTTTCAAATTCTTGTCTTGTAAGTGCATTATTGGCTAAAATATCATAAATATATATCTTAGCTTTTAGATATTCATCTTTAGAAAGTTTTTTTAGACCATATTCTTGATCTGCTATTTTAAGGGCCCGATGTAAATACATTTCTGCTTTTTCACCTTCATCTTTCATTTGAGCTAATAACGCATGTTTTATTAATAAAACCACTTCAGTGTCTTCTCCTCTCTTAGCTTTCTTTGGGCCTTCTTTATCATCCTGTACTTGTACTAAGGGAGCTGCTAGCAGTATAGAGGATAGGCCTACTGTCAAGTGAGATTTAAATTTGTTTCTGGAAGAGAAATAGTAATTTAAATGATAGCACAACAACCTGTGTATATTTTATTGGCCATAACCCGTATATAACAGATTTAACAGAGGATTGTTCATTGGAGATTCCTTGCTTGGAGCTGCTCAACTGCTCAATTCTCTAAAAAACTTCACCCAATCCACAATCCAATTTAATGGTAAAAATATCTGCCCCACATGGATGTAAGATTGAGAAAATCATGTGTTATCATCAAGTCGCCTATTTATACTGCATATTTGGAAGAGGAGTTTGCTTTTATTACATGGGCAAATTTGTATTTCATAACAGACTAATAATATACACTTTTGAAATTTCAGAAATGCGCGTCGAGTGCATATATTTATTCTGGGTAGCGAGGCATAACGGCAGATTACATCCTCCGATCTGAACGTTATGTCGCACTTCCTATCTAGTACATGTACTAATGTAGGCTACCTTTCATTTCCCGAATACCCATGAGAAGACCGTTTACAATACTGTAATACGGAATGCCTAATTATTCTTTTACAGTGAGTAAAACTTGTTCCAAGTGTCCTGATCAGTGAAAACTGTTTCGAAAGAAATATTTTCGACATTGTAAATTGGAGTTGTCCCCCAGTAATATAATCTTTTAACATTTCACATTTAATCAGTCTCGAAACAAGAATTATGTGCTTTTTTCATTGGTACTCTTCAGTATCGAGATCTGAATTCTTCAAAAATTATCCACCCGTTGGTATCAAACAAATTATATGAACAAATCTGTTTTGATTTTCATTGCTGAATAAAACGTGAATTATTTCGTTTTGTATGAAATTAATAATATTGAAATTTTTAACACCAACGTGAAACTGGAAACTACCGTGACGCGAATGAAACATTATACTAAAACTTTTTACTTTCATATATAACACTGTCCTTCACTGTCATGCATTAATGGTCACATCTACTTTATCCGAAACCTCTATACTTTCAAATTTTAAACACTTTCATTATGAGCTCTGTTGCAGTCATCAAAGAAGAAGCAGAAAAACAAATTCGTGCTTTGCTCAACAGCACTCCAGCTGGGCTAGCAGTGGGGGAACTAAAAAGAGATTATCAGCAGTTCATTGGGAGTCAAATTCCATATCAAAAGTTTGGCTATAGTTCAGCAGAAGATTATTTCAATGACATTCCTGATGTAATAACCCCAGTTTGGGAGAATGGGAAAACTATTTTGAAAGCCACTGCTAATGAGACTACTAGACACATTGAAAAATTAGTATCGCGACAAAGAGTAACAAATAAAAGTAAATGGGCTGCATTAAGGAAACAATCTCATGGCTATGCATCAAGACCAAGATATGTGACTACCCCTCAAGTTCCAGTTTCAATTCGCCATCAGATTAAACAGATGTTCAGACAAAACAGGAGCTTACCACTCACACATTTTGACAATTTGTTTTTTAAAACTTTTGGTCATCATTTAGACCATGAAAGATTTGGATATTCTTCAGTAGAATATCTTCTTAAGAGTATTCCTGATACTGTGACACTAATAAATCAGCATGGAGAATGGAGAGTTTTGTCAGCATATGCCAGGTATCAGTCTTCAAGAAGATATCAGAATGACAAACCAAAACCTTCATCAACTCCTACAAAAACAAACAACAGTGAAACCACTGGCATTGGGATAACATTTGCTTCAAGAGAACCAGGTACTTGTATTATTTTTATGTCTTGACTGTGTTAATATCTCATTTATTGTACTCCCATATGAAATGGCGGGAGTATATTGCCGTCACCCATGTCCGTCCGTCGGTCCGTCCACAATTACTCTACAATTACTCCTTGATGGATTTTGACGAAACTTGGAAGGAGTGTTCGTAATCACCCAAAGATGAACCCTATTGAAAATCAGAAGAATCGAAAAATATTTAGGATGAGTTATTGCCCTTGTTCTTGAAAACGCTTTCAATTTTTAGCCCCTAAACACAATTCTTGACGGATTTTGACAAAACTTTGTTTTATTGTTCAGTATCGCGCTGAAGGTTGAATATTTTCCTTCTAGAGTTTTCACGAGCTAAAAATTTTACACGTTTTCAAAAACAAGGGCAATATCTCATACTCAATATTATTCAGTATCGCCTCAAAAGAGTTCAAAAGAAATGTAAGACTGAAGGTTGAATATTTTATACTGGTGATTGTTACTGTACTGCTAAATATTTTTATTCAAAATCAAAGATGCCAGTAGGCATATATTACCTTGCTTGGCAAGCTATCTTTTATAAATTGAATGAAATAATATTCACATTTTTCCGATTTGATTAGAAAGGGTGACTCTTATTTTTCAATAGTACTTCCTCGTAACTTTTCAGATAACCAAGAGGTTCAGGGTTCATTATCATCTCTTAGTTCACCAACTAAATCAATAGATGTTGTAGCATGTTCACCACCAGCATCACCAATACACAGTTCTCCTGAACCAGAGGAGTTTGAAGATCCTGTTCATAAGGAATTGAAAAAGGTAATTGTGATAAATTTGATGAGAATGAAGTCAGACTGAAAAATTATTTATTAACTAACAAAAAGTTTAAAACAAACATTGACAGTACAAAGTATTTATGATGTACAAGGCCATGGATTTCTTTTGAACTAAAGATACACAGCTTTTTCTCATGAAGTTTTTTTTTAATCTTTTAATGTACGGTACCGGTACTGTAATGAGCTTTCCTGATTTGAAAGACAATAAATAGAAAACAATTGTTTATTATAGGTTTTGTCATCGCATTCTAAAGGAATAATGGCCAGTAGATTAGCTTTTGAATACAAGGTGAGTTTTGATATCGTGAAAAAATTCATACTTTAATTTGTTTGTGATGATCTGACATATTTTGGTTGACATCTTGTCAACTAATACATATGAAGAATACATTAAGAGCAATATGAAAATACATATCATTAGGGCAAAAGAATTACATAAATAAGGCATATGAATTAATTCAATTTCAATTTCAATTAGATCAAAATAAGTAGGATTACTGTGGAATAACTTTGAAATCTGAGAATATTGAAATATTTTAGGCCATAATAGGTAAAGAGCTACCATTTAAAGATCATGGTTACCATAGTGTTATAGAGTTTGTTAATGATATACCTAATGTTGTTAGAATAGAAAGACCTAATCCTAGTGGTGATTTTATTTTATTTGATGCTACTGCTCCAGTTAGTCCATCAGGTAGATATTACATATTATAGTTGATAGACATATTGAACCAGGTTTGAAAGTTAAAGGCATCATTTCATCATGATTACCCAATTTGATCTCTTGATGCAGAATGTTGTATAATACAAAGTACACTGTATTCAATTTAATGGTGTCATTTATACTAAATGTTCTTTCATCCATACAATATTGTGAATAATATGCTGATTAATGTGTGAAGATATAAAGGCAGCTCTGTTGGACCAAGTGGCTAAATGTTTGCTCCCTCACTATTATTCTAGTTGAGAAAATCATGTATCAATTATGATCAATTTGAAGAGAAATATCATTGAATTGATTCTAATTTTAATACAGAAGTAAAAAGAAAGATAAGTTATGCTAATGATAGAATAGTTAGTGATGAAATAAAAGAAGCTATAAAACAAGTCCTACAGACTAATCCAGATGGTATTACAATGGCCAACTTTCCCTCAGCTTTTTATGTATGTATGATTTGATTTACCTTTTACCAATGTTCACATTTTATCATCATTGCTGAAACCTGGGTAATAGCCATAGATAATGTTGGTATTCAAATTTATGGCATGATGGACAATGGTATTCTAAACAATGTATAAGATACAAAGATAATGTATTAATTTGCATCAAAAAATTCAAATAAGTCATAATTAGTTTTTTTTTATAGACATCTAAGTCTATTTCCCGATAGTCTGGGTTATCTAGTTGTTTAGTGGATCTTAATTTGATATTGTGTTTGTTTAAGAATGATTATAATATAGAAATATTTTTTGTAGGATTTAACTGGAAAACAAATTGATCCTGCTGCTATGGGATTTTCTAGTTTTGAATCTTTATTATTATCATTAACTGACAATGTACTTCAAGCAACATATAAAGGAAAAGGTAAATACATTTGTATATACCAATATGTATCAATTAAAATTTCTATATTTTATGTAATTATATAATTCTATAAGGCTAATGGGCCAGAATTCAGAGTCTATAAAATATCATTGTAAAAAGTTATCTAGCTTTTTTTTTCTCCCAACAGAATGTGTTGTACTAAATGCTAGAGATACAAATGAGCCAAGAAGATATGATCATTTACTAGAAAAATATCATCCCCATGCTGAACCAGTGGTAAGAAAACTTATTTTGCATCATTATTTATTCAGAGCGTTTCATCCAAAAAAAAACTAGAAAAGTGTCCTGTCTTTTACATTCTGAGGACAAAGTGTAGCACATTCAGGTAGAGTGCTAATCATGATCAGTGTGTGCATATCTGGTGACCTTGAATATGTCGTATTTTCCTCATTATTACAGTCGACCTACCTTCAAATGGGTATGGATTTGATCTGTAAGAATGTTTTTGTCTTTCATAACTCTTGAACTGAAGTCCAAAAACTATAGTACAATTACTGTAGCTAATTGTAGGGTTTTGTAATTTCTTCTCCCTATTTATTTTACAGCCTCCACATCTAGAGAGTTTACATAAGAAATGTAGTATACCTGAAGATAGTATATTACCTGGTACTTATTATACAGCCCAGAAATTACCAGAAGTTACTAGTGATTATATTGAAGTATTTGTATCTAATATAGTTAGTCCTGGTTTATTCTGGTTACAATTACGTGGTAAAAGAACATCTGAGGCACTAGAAAACTTAATGGATGATTTAGCGTAAGTTGAAAAATGTGGAACACTGGATTATACCCTCTTGTATACTCAAATCCATCACACTGTTGTCTGTATCATTACTTCATGCAAAAAATTTCTTGCAAAAATTACCAATTTGGATCAATTTGAGAAAGAGAGCCGCAAAGAGAATCTATGGCAATAATAGACATGTTGTCACCCCCTTCCCATAATTCATAATAAGACAATTTTTCTCCTTAAACAAAAAATGAACCTTTAAGGCAAAAATGACATGATTTATGACATTGAGATGGTTTATTTCAGTGAGTACTATATGACATCAGATAGTAAAAGATATCTAATGCCAGAATATTTATATATGATAGGCCAACTATGTGCTGTTATATTTCCTGAAGATAATAACTGGCATCGTGGTATAATAACTGGTATACGTAGCATGGAAGTTATAGAGGTACTTGTTTTTATTTCCCTTTCCATCTTATCTGAAGTTGTAAATTACTTAATTAAAAACAATTGAAATATAGAAAGCTGCAGACTGTTTAGAAGAAAATGCTGTAGAATGTTACAATTCAATAGTTTGGTCAACAATGTATTATTTATTACAGGTGTATTTTGTTGATTATGGTAATACATGTGCTGTACCAAAGAACACTTTAAGATTATTAAGGTACACCTTCATTTATTTCATGGGATTTGCGTTTCATTAGAACGGTGATATGAAAACAAAATAAACATTTTCGTGTAGAGACTGATCTTTGAAACATTGAATATCAGAATTTTGTTCCATTTCCTTAAAATGAATAGCAGAAGGCTAAGATTTATTCAGATTTTTTTTATACTCAAAGTAATTAATAAATATAACATCTTTGATAGTAAGTAACTTGGAAGAGGTTTGATATTCCTGGACCCTGTTTCTCAGAAATTCACACAACTAAATGGATGGAAGTTATTAGATTGTTATTGATAACGTTTTCGCTCCTACATTAATCTGCGATATTTTGAGAAACCGAGATCCTAGATATTATCAATAGCAGTAATAGCACTATAAGTTTGTAGTGTATTATTCCTACTTGTATCATGAAATATGAAATGTATTATTTCACTTCAGATCACGATTTAGAAAGTTACCTGCTCAAGCTATACAGGCCAGATTAGCTAATGTCAAACCAATTAAAGAGGTAGGCTAGTCAATAAGTTGATAAAATTTTAAATTGAGTTTTTAACAAATTCATCATTAATCAATTTATGTAAGATACTAAGAAATATTTTTTTGCAGCAGAAACCAAATTCCTAAATTGTTATGATTGTGAAATATGTATATAATTTACAGGTTTGGTGTGTTGGTGCAAGGGACAGACTTTTACAAATCTGTACAAATAAACCCTTAGTTGGATTTCTAACAGCAGTGAGGGTAGGTAACTCTTGTATCTGACTCACAAGACCACATCTAATGATGTCAGCACATATTTTGGATATAAAATCCATGTCAGGAAACTTAGTCTGAAAATTGATTTGAATTTCCTGTACATCAGGAAGAATGTGAGAGAGTCACTAATAAGGAAAATTAGTCATCAATAAGAATATTTGCTTACTGGAAGATCCTGTCTTTGATGCCGAAAGACTTGAGGTGCGGGACTGCAGGTATATGAATGATTGTGGTTGACAATTTTTGTTGCTGACTGCGGGCACATAAGGAGACAAAAATCTGGATCATTTTCCACTATGTAGACAATCACTTGCAGATCATGCAATTGAAAGGAAAATTATCTGATTGGATGATGATCTTGTTTGATATTATAAATCCTGATGGCAAAGTGATAATCTTGTCATGGAAGTGCGGGCACACGCGAGATTTTACTCAAGATTTGAGTGGGGAACGAAGGCTGTGCTTGTGCCCGTTCCCTGAGGCTTAATTGTAACATTGGACCGGTATTTATTGTTTTTAACAGGATCGTGTATTATCATTATGTTTAACTGATACTTCACAAGAAGAAGATATTCATCTGAATGATTTACTCGTAGAAGAATGCTATGCTAAGTTTGCTCCTGATGAATTACACCCCTCAACAATAGGCCCAACACAGTTTGCTGAGGTAAGTTTTCTTATTTATATTAGATTTAAAATGTCTGCTATGTTTGATCGGATGGGGTCTACTTCAAAAAATTTGCTCAAGATATTTATCATACTAAAGTAAATGATTAATTGGAGAAATTGTCAAATTTTAAATCGAAAATAATATCATTGGATAATGAATATTACCTTTCATCCACAATATAACTTAATTTATTTGCTTGCTGCTTTGGATATTTCCTGTCAGGAGTGATGCATTTTCTCATTGCTCACTGCATGGCAATGACTATATTCATAAGTCCAAGCCAGTTGAGAGAAGTAGAACATTCTAGTGTTCAATAATGTCTATTCTACACTTCATGAGAAATAATCAATATATCTTATAATTTATGTCTCGTAAGACTTCTCTTACCTCATTGTTTTATATATCAATTAGAAAGTAGATTAAAATAAAATTATTAATAAAAATATATGGAGAAAGAAATTGTTGTTTATATACTTGTTTACAATATAAAATCAATATTTTATTACTATTATTATTATACATCATAAATTGTTGATAAGTTATGATTTTATTTGTTTATCTGGCTGGGAAAAATCACATAAAACAAAATTTATCCATTATAAACAATAATGTTTTTACAGTGAATAGAATAGTTATACTAGGATTGCATGTTATTCCTCATTTTCACAATGTCAAGGTTTTAAAAACTTTGCCTAATAAATACCTTGACTACTATAGGCACTTTTCTGCTGGGTTGTTTTGTGTTTTGACTTTGTAAGAAAAGTGCCTAATGATGTCAAGGTGAAAGACAGAGATTTTAGCATTCTAAATGAAGGTGATAAATATCTTTTTAATATAAGTGAAATTAACAGTACAACAGGGGACTAATAGTTTTACTGTCAAAGTTCTATTTAATTAATATGTAGCACTAAATGGACAACAAATTTCTGTTGTGTAAAACGTTGTAAAAATTTATTTTATTGTGAATAATATTTCAAATTTACTTTTGTTGCTAAAAGGTGCGCTTTTCATGTCTTCATTCACACAACATAGTAAAACCATTTTGCATTCCTTCATGTTCTTGTAATGAACATAAATTTCACTGAAAAAACAACTTATCTGCAATTATCTTAGCATTTGGCATATAATGAAGTGTTGCAAAAGTACCAAATTCTAACTGAAATAGTCTTCAGGTAATGAGATTAAATTTGTATATAGCAAGACTGTAGAGTAATTTTGCAATATCTTGATTTATTTATGTAACACATTAAAACTATTATTTGGTATCTTAAACAATTGACCACTGTTTCTGATAATAATCTAATACTCAATGCAATACAATCTACATAATATTACATCTACCCACTAATACATGTATTAAATAGCTTAACCCCATATAATATCTAAGAGCCTTTGCAATAGCTACAACATAAAACACTTTTAGCGCAATTACAACACCCACAGATGTCTGACTGAAATCAATGACATCAGGGTGTCAGATACACAAATAGTTTAGAAAACCTCTTTACAATCTCTTAAAGGCATGGTTGAGTTTAGCTTCTAAAACTAAACATATGAAGTGACCTACCTTGTGGGGCTATGCCAATATATTATAACAATATGTAATAGGTTGTGAATGGAACAAGAACAGGATCATGCCATTTTTTTCAGTACTATATGACTTTTCTTGTCTAGGGACGGACTCACACAGACAAATTGGTTTCCACCCTACCAATATACTCGATTTTCCTTGGAATAGGTCTAATGGTCCAACTCCCCAGTCAGCAATTGATTGTATTGATAGTATTAGGACAAATACAATACCAAATGAATTACAGATATTCAAAAAACTTGATTTGCCCTTCACATGTAGCAACCATCAATAGTTTATCTGGAGTTGTTGATACAAATTTGATATTGTCATTAGAAAACAAACACTTAAGGAGTTGCCCCTCATGATTCAAGATGTCTATTCTACCTTCCCTTTTATCAGTGACTATAATATTTCCACATTTATCTGTACATACAGCATCAGGACCTTGATAAAACTCTTCATCATTATCTGTATTACCATATTCAAACAACAACTTTCCTTCACTGGTAAACCCACAAACAACATGACTTCCAGCGTCTGTTACAAAGAAATTATTGTCATTATCCACACAAGTTGTACATGGCTTTTCTAGAAGATACAGATCAATATCTAGAAAATCATCATTGGTTATTCTTCTAATCATGGCACCATCAGTATTATAAATGGCAATATTACCACCAGATTTGGCTGACTTTCCATGGTTACGACTCAATTGCCCATATCTGTTGGAGGTTACTATCACATGACCCATGGAATTGGAGGTAAAATAGTTCAATCCAAAAGTTTCTAATTGAACATCAGAAATTGGAGTGCCACTTCCATCATTTGCCAACACTTTTATCTTGTATCGATTATCTCCCTTAGTTACCATCAAGGACACTTTCCCATCAGAGGCAACTGAATGAAGTTTCCAGCCAGGTTCAACAGAAGATTGGCCACGGATAATACCATGTTTTTCAATGACATGAATGGTATGAGTACCAGTTGATACAGTACCAATAACTATATCACCAACCAGATTAATACCTATTCCTTTAATACATTCCTTCTGGATACTGGAAGGTACATAGATCTCTTGACTGGGATTGTCCAGGGTTTGAGTAGGTACATCCTCATAGAATGAAGAATGAAAGGAACTGTCAGCATTTTCTGCTGGTGGTACTTCTAATTGTTGGTTGGCTTTCATAGCATAGAATACATCACTTTGATTACTGGCACTCAAAAGATCACTATCCTGTTCAAGGTCTGAAGCTTCTTCAAGTTCAGTTATTTCAGTCAGATTTTCATCAACATTTTCACTAATGCTAGTTTTTTGAGAACTAAGAGAACTACCCATGTGTCTCTTGTATCTGGGAGTAATTTCACGATCGACAAGTTCACCATACATGTCACAGATTTTCTCAATGGATACCCTTTGCTCTGTGAGTTGAAGACACACAGGTTCAAAACAAGCTTCTTCAGGTAAAGGATCCTCACAAAGTTCCCTTACACGATGTCCTATCTTTCTTCTCATTGAAACTTTCTCTTCATCAGATCCAAAACTCACAAGTTTCTCTGTTAGATCTGTTACTGCTGTTAAAGAAGCCAGATGTTTCCTAATCTCACTTTTCTTTTCAATAATCTCATTTTTGGAGTCCAGATGCCGCTTGTCAATTTCAGCTATTAGCACATTTTCATATTCATGGATTAGATTGCACAATACACTAGTTCTTTCTTTGACAAGTTTTTTCAAATCTGCTTGATTTCGGCATATGATTTTATCTGATTTATCCAGTTCTTTTAGGTTCTTAGTCAAGATTCTTGCATCATTGGCCAATTCTGCCAAAGGATCCTTGATTTTGGTCACAAAATTTTGAGCAATGGCTTGCAGTTCGGCACATCTATGACTGTCATGGTTAGAGCTATGACAATCACCACATACAGCTAAATCACAATCCACACAAAACATGGCTCCTATATCTAATGGATCATACATATCACAACATTTTGATAGGACATTATTGTTGTCAATTTGATCACTAGCTTGATCTTCACCATCTTTTAATTCATAATCCTGAACAGGCTGTAATTTATGACTAGCTGTTTCTTGTTCTTCAATATGAGCAGAAGAACAAGCTTCACAGAAAAACTCATCACAATTGACACAATGAGATACTGACTCCTTTATTTTACCACTATACTGACAATTCTGGCAGATTTTTTCCCTCACCATGGCAGGCATGACTGGACAAGACAGACGGCGAGCGAAATTATTATCTGGCAAATCCTCTAATCCTTTTTGGCGCACATTGGATTGGGTACCACATTCTGGACAGTTGAAGAAACCTTCTGATGTAGAATTCTGTTTAACATAATCTATCAGACATGTTTTACAGAAAGAATGTAGACATGGTAGATATTTTGGTTGTCTGTATTCTTCATTACATATTTTACAACATAAAAATCTTCTCGGTATAACTTCACTATGTTCCTCCATTCTACCTGCAACTAGACAATGATAGATATTGTTGACAACAGTGAATGTTGGTTGATGAAAAAGATATTTATGATAATCAATAATTTTAATCTAACTTGTGAAGTTAATGAGAGGAACTGATACAAGTTACTATTCAAGAACAGTGTTTATTAGGTGATGTTTGAAATATTGCTAAACATGATTAATGAAGCCTGATAGTGACATTAAATGTATAAAAGTTGATGGATACAATAACAAAAAATTCTCTGTTGAAATAGTAAAGCTATATGGAAATATGTAATTACTCAGAGTTTCATGCTATGTGATCTTCAGACAATTGACCTATTTCAGCCTGCGTCCCTACTGAAGTTGGAGAAGGAGAACTTATTCTGATGTCTACGTTTTGAGACAAGTTCGGAACATTTGTTTAAAGATGTGTGCTTAGGGGCATTGATGATGGAAATCTTTTCAGTTAAACACAGGTTACATTGTTAGGTTTTATTTGTATAGGCTTCAGCTCTGCCTGCTATCAATGGATCATGATATTTTTTTAATTATTATCAGATACTGAGTTGATATGATAATGCACTCTAAACATACAGTGAAGATTTGAGTGCCTGGTGGGACAGCTCAAATGTTAGTGAACAAATTCTATCCAAAAGCCCAAATTTAATGAATAAAATGTTATGTAACATGTTACAATAACAATATTTAATGACTAGCATTAGTGGTCTTAGTCTTTAACAAATGTCATTAGCACTCACTTAATGATAGCATTAGAGTCCAACAAAATATGCCAATCTTGGTGGTTATCTCAAATGGTTAAAGTGCAGGACATACTGAATAGTTTTCTATCCCTAATGTAATTCAAATATGTCTAGATTATTCAGTATAGTTGTCATTTATATTGCACCTTTAAAGAATTCATATTGACCTACTATCTGTATAGTATGTTATTGATTTGTTAAACACAATGAGTAGCTGTCAGTAGATTGATATAGAGATATATATTTATCTACTTATTACTTATACCTTTCAATCTATAGATCACATTCTTGGTAATTCTTATACCTTCATTATCCAGGCTTTAACTTGCATAATAGATTTAATATGAAAATCATTTATTTTTGATGACTGTCACATTTCTTAATGAATTGTATTAAGGAATTATACATGTGAGTTCAAATCAATCTAGTGAATTAAAATTGAATTAAGAATTCAAATACATTTGTTTACATGTTTACTCTTGTAATTTGATTGGCAATATATACATGACATGAGATCAACTGAACTTACGATATATTACAATGCAATGTAACTAATATATATGCATTTTAATATGACACCTCTACAATTTATAAGAATTTATTACATTTTAATGCTATTTATGGTAGTTTGAGTTACTGACTTAAAATAAAAAATAATATGATACAGTACTCAAGCATGAATATTAAATTCTGCTGGTTTCTGACATCTTTCAGATTTCAATCACCTAATTCAGGAGTGATATTATTTGAAATAATTCTTAAGTGACAAGACACATAGAAGGAATGGTAAAATAATTATAAATATGAAGCTACAGAATTTTGGTTTTATTTACTCTCTAATTATGTAGAATGCTCAAACCTTGCAACCTATAAATTGATTATCTTTGAAAGTTGTTACCCTCTCTATCTATAGTCATGCCCCATGCAAATGTCATTCCAAAATGTAATAGAGGATAGTTTTTAATACAAGTCAAACAACAGAATCTCTTTCATTGATTCTCATATAAAACTAGTTTCTCAATCACCAGTGGAACAATCAGTGTTTGTTATTTTACAATAGAATGAATTTCCGTCTCCACACAGTTCTAGCTGAAGTCAATAAAGTGATAATGAAAGGTTGGTTTGAAAAATAAATCATGTTTTGTTATAATCCTAAATATATTTTATCTGAGATAATGCAGTAGTTATATTATTTTGTCCGGGAATAAAGCTAACTTTGGTATTTCACCATTTTATCCAGACACATTGAGTTCTATTACTTCCAACAACCAAATTTTACTCTGATCCAATGCTCATATTATATTTGATGAATTTGATGCTTGATCACCCCAAAACATGGGTCTCAATTTCATTTTGTGTTAGATTGTATTACTTACAACATTTGGAAAAAGAACTTCATTGCACAATTATATCTCTTCTTTTCTCCCAATAGAAAACTCTATAGTATGGGAAATATGATTATAATTGTTGTAAAAAGAAGTTGTTGTTAAGTTTATTTAGGTTGGACTACTTGATAATTGTTTACTATTACTTTACCTTAATCACATTACTTTAAAGTATACTTACTACCAATATAAACTATAAGGTAGTAAATGTAGCTAAAGTACTAAAGTGTGTATTTTGATTATATTCTATCACAATAGGCTAGATATACATGTACAGTATCTAAAAACTATTTATGAAGATGCACAGTTCTTTACTCATTTATTTTTTCTATCCACTCTAGTTAGACCTGTTTTTAAAAAATATCCAATTCTTACTTTTTGAACAATCATTTGTGGAAATTTGTTTTTTCAATGAACTCAGATAAACTTACTTCTTGAACCGAAGTTAAGTTATGCAGTAAACTTCACAATATGTAGAAATCTGGCTTTACTTTTTATAATAATTACTGGAGATTAACCTGTAAGGATTGGCATACCAAGCCTTTCTTGCTAGTGTCATGAATTACTTCATATTATTTTTTGTTTTAAAAGGCTGAATTGTAAGGCTGATATTGGAATATTTTTGGTCCTTGATAAAAGAATTGAAAGATTAAACTTCACTATGAAATTTTTACCTCAATGCATGCAACATAAATACTTAGTGAATATTTTCAAGTAATTCATGTAATAACATGCTAACCAGAGACTTTTCAAGAGAAAATTTATAAGTTAAAGTACTTACTAAGTAATGTTAATGCATGTTCCTTATTAATGTGCACTATATATGATCCTTAAAGCACAGGTCAAACTTACTTAGGAACTGTCCTATTCAGTATGGTCAGTTGACCATAGTACAATTACTTTACAATAATTGTTTAAATGGTTGGACACTTAACTGGTTGGTTGGCATTCAGCCAATGTTTTATTTTCAGTTCTCCTTAGCTGCAAGTTTCAATGAAAAGAAATTGTCATCCAGTCTTTTGAAGTCTATATCAACAGGTCTTTCATGGGACTTGTGTTTCTGTAGAATAATTAGAACATTGTTTGATGATCTTAATAATAATACCTGACTGGATTAAAACATTTAAATCCTTAATCTTGACACACACAATGAATACAGAAGATTTTGAATTTGGACTAATATGAGGCTTTACACTAGATTTAGAGGGATTAAAAGATAATCTTATAATCCAAGAAATTACAAATTATCTTTAACAAGTAGAAATGGCACATATCATTTGTTAAGTTAAAAAGGGAATTGGTAACTTAAAGGGATACATTCCCGATCAGTCCGATCAATTGTGTGTTTGTCGGAAACGGGTATTAATCAGTAGTACTTAGTGGTCAACACTTTCTGTACAAATTTGAGCCTTTTACATGTGTATTCATGATTCTCAGCATTTGAGACTTGACATTGACGAGTTGACTTTGTAGAAGAGCAGCGAAGTTCATGAATTAATTTATTTTTTAATAACTTTTGCGTTTGATTAGGTTGAGGTTCACACCACATTTATTCAGTTGTAAGGCTATTTGTTCTAGAGCATGCACACACAGTATTTCCTTTTATAGACCTTGTTGACCAGACGTACAATATTCAGACACAGGTCAAAAACAAGTGAAGATGGAAATAGAAAGTAAAATTTCTAGTTTTAGATAAACTTCTGAGAGATATCCCTTATCAGTCATGTACTTGATTGCCATCCATTTACAATATTATGAAAAATAACATACCTCCAAATTCTATACATGATGCTCGGCGCTGGCACCACTTTCTACCTTTACCATCACCATCTTCCATCATGACCAGATTCTGTAATATAGAAGGTATGAGTGGAAAAATGCTATGTAGCAAATTGTGTAGTCTATATTGTAAAGCTAAGTTAATTATTGAGTTTCTTTGTTTAGTAGATTGATAGTACTTAGTTATTGGAAATTTTACTTATTGATGACAATACGACCTTATAAGTATAAGTTGTTTACGGTTACCTGTTGAAGAGGACTTTAGCTCAGCTTAGTGCTTATGACACCTTTATGAGGGTCATTCTGTGAATGTTCAGAAAGCTATGTTAGCTCTGCCAGATAGAATGTTGCTATCCTGGGTTCTCATGGTCGATTTTTTTTTCAAGCCCACTTTAATTCTTAAGTGTCCATTTATCTATAAGATATTGCTTAAAAGGTTTTTAGTTATTTTTGAATGATTTTCATATAACTTTGTGGTTTTAGTTATCATCCAATTTCCATAACATTCAGAACTATGAACCTTGTCAGAGAACATGTAAATGATGATATAACTGAAGTCAAAAATAGTTTTGAGATGATGATTTGATAATTGTCTAATATGACCTCTTATTAATATATTGATTAATTAATGACATGATGTCATGTTAAATATTGTATTGGAAACATAATATTAGTGGTGTGACATGATAAGTCTCTTACCTGAGTGAATTCTAGTTCCTGTTTCTCTGTTAGTTCCAATATATTACTTATCTTCACTAGACTCAAACAATCCAATCAAACTCTAGGCACGCATCATTTTATTGTCATTTCTTGTATTGTTGTTCATTATCTGACTTGATACGTAAATTACCATTGATTTCAAGTTTTGTTGCTATTTTCATTCCCATCTTGATTATTGTAAATGTAGGAGCTTGAGGCATTGTACAAGCTATAAAAATCTATATCATCAATTTTAGACTAATTGAAATAAAAGTAAGGTGATGTTGTTTAGCTTTTGTTATGTTGTTGCCATGTGATATTTAAGAAAAACATGTAAAAAAGCTTATTGATGTATTTTGCTGAACTCGACATGTTTTGTCATCTCAAAGATATGGCCATGTAACATATGGCAGGCAATGGTCCATCTTGATTATAAGGCACTGATTTGATATATAAACATTGATCTAGTGAGTCCAAATGCTCAAGTGAATTAGATTAATGAATGATAAAGTTCTGAAGCAATCATATCGTACATTCATTAAAAGTATACGTGCAACATTTGGGGGGGGGGGGGGATTTTAGTCTTGTAATTAGTCTTCAAAAGTACTAGAAATGAATGAAAATCGGTGGCTCAGTGAGTTAGACGCTTGCTCGCTAACCTGAAGGTCCAGGGTTCAATCCCGGCATAGGTCGAGATAATACCTTCAGACTTTTCAACCCGGTTTGCCCCTGTCAGTGATGTAGGTACGGGTGGCTGACATGGAAAAAGCGTCTAGTCGTTCGGATGGGACAATAAACCGAGGCCCTGTGTGCTACAGACTGTGCACGTTAAAGATCCCTTGACAGTTGGAAATCGAAAAAGAGCAGGCTAATACTGCTGTCCTGGCAAAATTTCCCTCATTGCACCCTGCATGGCGTTGCCCGTCTTCATTAGCCCACATGGTGCAGAAAAGTAGGACGTAAAACTCCATTCATTTCATTTCATTTTTTTCAAAAATATCTCAAACTAGGAATTTCTTTTCCTATTTCTATAGATGTCTTTTCTATATATGCCAGTGTCTCATGAAGAGATTGCACATAATTCTGGACATATATGGTTTGGCGGCCACAATTTTGACAGTGAGCTCTGAACACAAAAAATTCGGAGACTAAGGTACAAGTGGTAAAAAAATGGTGCACCTGTCCCTACTTTAAAACAAAGTGATGAGGTATGGGTCATCAATTTATAAGCCATTCTATATTAAATATGTAACTATTTGTAGAGTGGTCAAATCATATAATTGTGTAGCTAGCACACGAAGGTGGAAAAGAGTCAGTTTAGTCAGACTTAGGGGCACAGAATTTTGGTCTACTGGATCAAGGGTTTAATTTTATTGGCTTGTAAACTTTCTATATCTTAAGATTGCAAAGGTCCTGATTATTGAAACATTACATTCTAAATTCAGAGAAATTGTAGAGAGTTATATCAGCACATTATCATAATATTTGACGACTGGATTATTCTTGATTGCAAACAAGTATGTTGATTGTAGATTTTTCACTTTGATTATTTTTGATTGATTAATGCACAAAAACAGTAAAAGACATGTATGTTAAGGTCATGTATAAACTGATTTTATCATTATGAACATGGGGTTTATATTTATTTTATAAAAAAAAGTTGCAATGAAATATTCCAGGAGATTGTTACAGTTAAAAGGCATCTCTTAGGGCTATATTTTATTGTTAATGATCGTTTTGGTTGACTTCATCCAATATAAGATTAATACATATTACTATTATAGTAAAAATAATCAATATGATAGAAATCACTCTAGATAATTCACTTTATTATCATTATTAATGATAAATCATTCTAACATGATTATCTACAGCATGATTGTTACATATTCTTATACAATGTGGCAAAATTTTATTACCGGCATGTTGATTTTGTCAAATAAGACAAATAACAAAAAACATCTTTTTAGAAGTGAAAAAAAAAATCATTACTGAGAAATAATCAGTATTTATTCCATAATGCCAGACTAGGTTTATTTTCAAGATTATTGATAACATGAAATACTACTTTAAGACATATAATACAATTTCTCTGTTGTGTTCTGCATGTTTGCTTATTGACAAAAGAGACTACTAATAAAGTACAAGACTTGTAGATTTGCTTTCTGAAAATATTCTCTCATTCTCAAATTGTTCTTATGAGTTAATTAGAAATCTGCCAAGATATTGATACTTAATGAATAACTGTTGTGTGTTTGATGTTTGATTATTTATTCTGCTGAGAACATTCTACCTCTTCAAATTAGATTCTCAAACTTGGCAGAATCCTTGTTTAATCTAATAAAATGAATAATTATTTTTAAAATATGGGTAAAGATTGTATGAATATTATAATAATATCTCTGATGGTTTCAGGTTCCTGGTGATGATCTAATCTATGGTTTTAGTGTTCCTACTGTAACTGGTACTGCTTCAGTCACTGATAATTCTTCAATCATCAACACTTCTCCACCTGAAATACCATCTGGTACCAGACATGTTCAATTGTAAGTGATTTTCAAATATATATTAGAATATTTTCTACAATAGCTGATACAGCTCACATAATCTATAAATTCTAAAGAAAGCTATCCTTTAACGATTTTTGTTTGTTTAATAGATTGGACTATGTTTGATATGTCTTCTTGCTGAATGTGCATATGCAATCGTTAGACTTAAAAGATATTTTGATGTAATCAAGGTATTCCTAGCATGCTTAGTTACATTGATAAACAGTTTTTCCAGAGAATTACTGATTTGGTACACTGATCTTTTGGAGAAAGGTCCAAAATATTTAGCTAGATATTGTATATTTATTAATATATCAAAATGAGTGAAATAATATGATTATCTTTCAGTATTGAAGCTACACCTAATCATTCCTTTCATCTCATCAATATATATAATTCACCATATTTATTATCAGCTGAGATCTCGGCTCTATTCTGGACTAATGATTTACTATCATCAGAGGTAAGATATCAGTGGAATATTGATAACTTGCTTTCATGTATATTGTTATTTTTATACGCCCACATCGAAATGTGGACGTGTATTGCTGTAGCCCCGGTCCGTTGGTCTGTCAACATTTCTTGTGAACACAATAGTGACTACAGTTTTCAACTGATTTTAATGAAATTTGGTGTGATCATTTATATTGATGAGATCTTGGTCAAGTTTGAATTTGACAATCTTTCGATGAACAATTTTTGAGTTATTGCCCTTGACTTAAAAAAAACGCGTCTTAATTTGTTTGTGAACACAATAGAGACTACAGTTTTTAACTGATTTTAATGAAATTTGGTGTGATCATTTATATTGATGAGATCTTGGTCAAGTTCAAATTTGACGATGTTTCGATGAAAGGTTTTTGAGTTATTGCCCTTGACTTAGGATGTGATCATTTATATTGATGAGATCTTGGTAAAGTTCGAATTATAATTTCTTTAATATGAGAAAATTCATACTTTAGTCACTAAAGACTGTTTTTATCATTTCTGACAGCTGCCAGTGGGCATATGTTACCTTGCCTGGCCTTTTGATAAGTATACTCAGAAGGTCAATCAGTATTATAACACTACTAATGTGATACAGGAAGAACAATTTTTTGGGGTTTGGAAATTGTCTCTATTAGCATATAGGGCATTACTGAGAGGAATCATCTCGATCTATGCCGAATGGTGGACTAAATGATTAACAAGCACTCAGCCAATATGGCCCATTCTTTTGTTTTAGAGCATTGCTCTTGCAGGAAAATATTTTTGAGTGGTAGAATATTTATAATCAATGGGAGAAAACCTAGCTGTTGTAATGACTATTTGATGTGGTTTATATGGAATATCTATATTTCTTTATTTAGCTTCTCAAGAGAGATGTTAGTTGTACAAAGATAAAAGTTATCAGAAATGAACGACCAGAACTCTTTCAAGAATTACAAGGGTAAGATATATTTAAATTACACATGTCATTTAGAGAATGACTTACCATATCTTTGAGGCTTGCACAGTGCTCAACTATGAACACAAGGTGTAGACCTTTAGGATAAAAATCCTGTTTATATTTTGATTCCTAAAAAAAATACAGAACTAGAGCCACTCGTGGCACAGAGTGGGACTTTGCAAATGTAGCAATTTGCTAAAGACCCCGAAAAAATCAACCATCGACGATAATTAGGTCAAGCGCAAGAACAAGTCTAAAGTTGATAATTTTTTATTTTTTAGAAGATTCTAATACCGGAAGTAGACGTCAGACCTCACAAATGAAAGTATCAGCAGATAGCCAAGGTCAATGACCTTTGATCTTGTAAAGGAGAAGGCCTAAAAAGGTCAAGATCAAGAGATATACGCCATTAAAATTTCAAATTGCTAACGACTATAAAACCAGAAGTTGACCTAGGACAGCAAATATAAAAGTATAAATAGATAGCCAATGCCAATGACGTTTGATCCTACAAAGGTCAAGGTCAACAAAGGTCAAGGTTAAAAATTGAAAATTTTGAATTTCCAAAACCTGTTCCTTTTTTTGAACTATGAAGCGGAAACAACCAAAATTCTAAGACAAAGTGGCTTAAAATATGAGGTAATTGTGTAAAAAGTTCCATTTTGAACAAATGTATACTTTGCGAGTTATGCCCGTGGCCAAAAATGTCAATAATGAGTAATTTAAC